TCTTCTTCTTCTTCTTCTTCTTCTTCTTCTTCTTCTTCTTCTTCTTCTTCTTCTTCTGCTTCTTCTTCTTCTTCTTCTTCTTCTTCTTCTTCTTCTTCCTCCTCTTCCCAGAAATGATAGGGTAGCTCTAGCAATCACCAGAAACTATGGTCAGAGCATCTGGTAACTGGCTGATGCCTTATTTTTCTTTGTAAATTTTCTTTCCAGGATGATTGTGCACCTCCCTTTGGTCCCAGTTTTCTCTGGTCGATCATCTGAGCGTCGGCAGGCAAGGGCTACAATCGGCTGGAGGTCTCCTGCCACAAGTGGGCAAATGGGAACCCTACTCCCATCCAGTGTCTACTGACTGGCTCCTATCCAAGTCAACACCCGTGACCCAAGGCTCTTTTTGTAGCAGGTACACCTTTGCATATGAGGCCACACACCCCTAATGTCGCCAATCCTCCAAGAGCTTACAGAGCTCTTCTTACAGGGCCTCCTGTAAGCTCTTGGAGGATTGGCTACATTAGGGGTGTGTCGCCTCATATGCAAAGGAGTTCCGGCTACAAAAAGAGCCCTGCCCGGGAGTCCTGTCACTTGAGATACAAGACCGTAAGTTTCTCTACTATTTTGAGCAGGAAGCATAGATAGCCAGATGGGGTCGAAAGGCGGAAGTTTTTCTTCCTTAAGAGTGGGATGGTGACCCTGTCACCAGTGAATACACTGGAGGGAAAACAACAACAGCCAATGGTATTGAGGTGCAAGAGCTGATTGGCCTAGAAATACAGGCCTGTAGCCAGGGTTTGGTGCCTTGTGGGGCATTTTTTTTTTCTGATGGGGCTGCCATTATTTTTATGTTAGCTCCAATCCGCCCCCAAGCCCGACTGCCACCGGCCCTCCCTCTCCCTCCCCCCCTCAAGATTTAAAGGGCTCTTCAGCTGATCGGCAGGGGGTCCGTGGCCCGCCGATCAGCTGGAGGGCCCTTTAAACCTTGCAGGAGGGAGGGAGAGGAGTGTGCGCCATCCCCCACTTCTTCTCAAAGGTATTTAAAGGATCCCTTCTTTTTTTTAAAAAAAAAACCTTCTTAAAACAATCTTGTGGGGCTGGCCCTTTCAGGAAGGGGGCAAATAGCCCCAATGTAGCTACAGGCCAGTAGAAATGTAATGGATATTAAATCAGAATCCCTAAACTGGTAAGCATCCTATGTAGGCCTTTGAAGGCCTAAAGGCATATTTATTCCAATGAGCAGTTGACCATAGTGTCCATACATTGCTTTTGGTCTGTTCTGCATTGGCTTTCCCCTCCGTTGTTTTAGCAAACCCACCTTGGAACAGAAATCCCCCTCTGCATTCCACGCTGCTTTCACTTCGTTTGATCATCGGATTTTTATGGTTTCAGTTTCTCAGTTCAGTTTATTGCAATTAGCCATTGGCCGTTACAAAATTAGAAAACACAAATTGCGAACAAGCGATAGGTTAGAGTCAGAATATACAGAAATGCCAAAGATCAGTAACCAAATAGGACTAATTTAATACAGTAGCCTGAATAACGTCCCTTCCCGATGCCACCTTGGAACGTATATTCTTTGCAGCAAGAGCAAATAATGAAACTTTATAAGAGACATACGCATCAATGTCAGATAACAAAAATTATTTCCCCCCCCCCCCTCAACTGGGTTAGGGATTTTTAGGGTACCCTCCAGACTGCATGATGGTTTCACTTCCTTTGATCATCGGGTTTTTATGGTAGCCATCTGCATAGATTTATGGCCGTTTTATGGCCGTTCGGGGGTGACTCTGCAGTCAGTACAGTGTTGTCCCAGGGTATTTGAGGCCAAATCTGCATTTGTCTTTCCCACCAGTGTCCCAGCCTTCTGACTCCGTCTTCAAAAAAAACTGTCTACATTTTCTTTCGTTTTCACACTTCAACTGTGCTATCATACTTTTGCCTGTCTGCATAGGTTTATCGCCCTCTTGTGGCAGCGCCATTGTAATTGTGCCTCCGCACCATTTTAAATTAATCTTCTCCAAACAACTGTCAGACAAGCATAGAGAAAGACGGCGTTGCAGAAGCACGAAACGGATTGAAAAACGCAAATGCAGATTCGACCTGAATGTGGTTTTGAGCTGCATCATTTTCTGTTCCAGGGTGGGTTTGGTAAAACAACGGAGCGAATGCTAGATGCAGACTGGGCCTTTGTCTTACTGTCATCTCTGGTGTCTAAAGCCCTGCAGAAACCCGCACATTTTGTGTGGTCATCGACAATAGCAGGGTGGGAAAACAAAGCCAATCTGCACCCTGTGAGAAAAGTCACCTCCTTCTCTGCTGCCATCCTTCCCTTCCCTTTCAATCTGAACCCGGAACCAGCCGTGTGTTTAGAATGGGATGAAAGCAGGAAAGCCATCGATTCCTGTTCCCAAACGGCTTTTGTTACCTGCTGTTGCCAAAGGAAAAATAAGGGGGTTTAGTCACTATTTTGTTCCTTATGCAAATCTGATCTATTCATATATATATATTTTCCCCATTTGTAGGATTTCCAGCTGCCTTCGTTGTGGCCTGGGCGGTGGTCCGAGCGATGGTGGCAGACTCAAGGTCAGTGGGAAAGGTAAAAGTGTGGTGCAGAGAGGCAGCGTTGTGTGGTGGCTGGCTAGTGCATCTAGACTAGGGTCTAAGAGACTTAAGGTGTACATCCTCACTCTGCCATGGGAGATTGCACGGTGCCCTTGGGCCAGTCACATACTCTCTGCCTAGCCTACCTCACAGGGGTGTTGTGAGGACACAATGGAAAAGAGGAGAATGTTTTAAGCTGCCTCGGTACCCCACTGGGGGGACAGGCAAGGTATAAATAACATAAAGAAAATAATAAATACTCGATTGTCCTTTTTGTTTATGTGTAGTTGGGTTGAGAAGGTTTCAGCAAGATGTTTGCATAATGAAGGTGGTGACATCCATAGGAACATAAATAAACTCTGCTGGATCAGACCAGTGGTCCAGCTAGTCCAGCATCCTGCCTCACACAGTGGCCAACCAGTTCCTCTGGAGGGCCAGCAACAGGGCAGAGAGGCCAAGGCCTTCCTAAGAACATCAGAAGAGCCCTGCTGGATCAGACCAGTGGTCCATCTAGTCCAGCATCCCATCTCACACAGGGGCCAACCAGTTCCTCTGGAGGGCCAACAACAGGGTAGAGAGGCTGAGGCCTTCTCCTGATAAGAACATAAGAAGAGCCCTGCTGGATCAGCCCAGTGGTCCATCTAGTCCAGCATCCCGTCTCACACAGGGGCCAACCAGTTCCTCCGGAGGGCCAACAGCAGGACATAGAGGCCGAGCCCTTCCCCTGATGTTGCATCCTGCCTCTGGGACTCAGAGAATTAGTGCCTCTGAATGTGGAGGTCCCCCTCAGTCACCATAGTATAAGAACATAGGGACTGCTGATGGAGAGAAGGGTAACCAATTTTAAATCACTGTGATTTTTTTACACCATTCCCTTTTGTGGTGGGGGGGGAGTATCTCAGATACACTAAAAACAGATGTAAACTTTTCTCATGTTCATTCAGTTTTATCCAATTTCCCCCCCTGGTGATCTTTTCTTATTTACTTATTTTACGAGATTGATATCCCACCTTTCAGCCCAATCGGGCCCACCAAGGCAGCCAGCAACCAATAGCAGAACAGGATAAAAACACACCTTGGAATGAGTTAAAAACAAAATCAAAATACGTACATGGAAAAAGACAAATGTCAATTAAAAATGTCCCACAAGAAGGAGGAGTTATTGAGGGAATGATGCAACTAATGAGCAATGTTCCCTCTAAGCTGTGGAGTCTTGTGAGCAAAAATTCTACTTTGTGAGCTACTGGCATTAAAGTTGTGAGCAAGCGATTTGTCTACTGCATAAATTAGCTTGCTCTGGAGCCCTCCTTCCTGAGCTAAGACAAAAATGTGTGAGCTAGAGGCTAAAAAACTGTGAGCTAGCTCACACTCACTCAGAGGGAACACTGCTAATGAGTCCCACCCCTCTCATGGACACACAAAGTTGCCTTCTACTGAATCAGACCCTTGGTCCAGCAAGGTCAGTATTGTCTACTCAGACTGGCAGCAGCTCTCCAGGGTCTCAGGCAGCGGTCTTTCCCATCACCTACTGCCTAGTCCTTTAATTGGAGATGCAGGGGATTGAAACTGGGACCTTCTGCATGCCAAGCAGAGACTCTACCACTGAGCCAAGCAGAGACTCTACCCCTCTCCCCTACTTATCATTCATGTTTTTCATAAGCAAAAGGTAGGTATGTGATGCCGTTTCAACTCAGTAATCTCAGTTTAATGTTTGTTTGTTTAAAAAATAAATCCCAGAAAAGAATTTCTCAACTGGAACTAAGTGCATTATTTTGAATGGTGGGTAGCTTGGTGTGGTAGTTAAAAGCAGTGGACTGTAATCTGGAGAACTAGGTTTGACTCCCCACTCCTTCACATGAAGCCAGCTGGGTGACCTTGGGCCAGTCACATTTCTCTCAGAGCTCTCTCAGCCCCACCTACGTCACAGGGGCTGATTTCGCACAAGGACCTGAGCCACCGTCACACCTCCCTTAGGTCAATTTCCCACTCGAAGCCGCGTGGCCGCATTTTGACCCGCGGCTTCGCCCGATTTCCCTCCCCAGTTTCATGATCCTGTTTTTTGAGGATCACGAGACCACGGGGAAAATCGGGCGAAGCCGCGGGTCAAAATGCGGCCGCGCGGCTTCAAGTGGGAAATTGACCGATGGAGGCGGGGCAAAGGGAGGCGTGACAGCGGCACAGCTCCTTGTGCAAAATCCGCCAGGGTGTCTGTTGTGGGGAGAGGAAGGGAAGGCGATTGTAAATCACTCTGAGACTCCAGGTAGTGAAGAGCAGGGTATAAAAACCAACTCTTATTCTTCTTCTTTCCTACAATCCCATGTGTAGGGATTCTCACCAGGCGATTTCTCACTACAGCTGCCTCGCAGCACAGCCGCCGCCGTTTGCCCTGACACAAACATGTCAATTTCACACCCGAAGCTCTGGGGGCTGCATTTTGACTCAAGGCTTCGCCCGATTTCCTTTGCAGTTTCGTGATCCTGGTTTTTGAGGATCATGAAACTGCGGAGGAAATCGGGCGAAGCCTCGGGTCAAATGCAGCCCCGCAGCCTTGGGTGTGAAATTGACATGTTTGTGTTGGGGCAAACGGCGCGGCGCTGCGAGGCAGCTCTAGTGAGAAATCGCCCACCAAGTTGGTTGGAATTTCCACCTTGATGAACGGCTCTCACCATCCTCCTTCCGTTCTTTTTCTGCCTCTATAGCAGCCCAAGGAGAATTGAGACCTCTGCTTTTTCTCCTGTGAACCTGACTGGTTGCTAATTTCCCCCCATCTTGTTCTGGTCTGCTTTGCACCTCTGTGAAAACAAAGGAACACACCTTTGGCTCACCTTCATGCCTTTATCTCCTCAGCCTTCCCCTGCCCATTGGGTGTCATTGTCAGAGGCAATGTCAGTGCAGAATCCCACAGCTGGGCAACTCCCACACAGGAGGCCTCTTGATTGGAGATTTTGGGCCCTGCAACCAAGCCGCGGGGCAGGAGGGGCCCATGTAGGGATGCCAGCCTCCAGGTGGGGCCTGGAGATATCCCGCTTTTACAACTGATCTCCAGACTACAGAGATAAATTCCCCTGGAGAACATGGCTGCTTTTGGAGGGCAGACTCCGTGGCATCCTACCATGAGGAGGCCCCTCCCCCTCCCCTAGGCCTGTTGTCCCTAGGCTCCACCCCCAAAATCTTCAGACATTTCCCAACCCAGAGCTGGCTACTATATTTCAGCCCCACCTACCTCAGAAGGTGCCTGTTGCGGAGAGAGGAAGGGAAGGTGATTGTAGGCTGCTTTGAGGCTCTTTAAGGTAGAGGAAAGCAGGGTATTAAAACCTACTCTTGAGAGCTAGGGTGGTTCAGTGGTTAAGGGCAATGGACTCTAATCTGGTGAATCAGGTTCGATTCCCTGCTCCTCCACATGAGGCCTGCTGGGTGACCTGGGGCCAGTCACCATTCTCTCAGGCCTCTCTCAGCCCTACCTGCCTCACAAGGGGCCTGTTGTGGGGAAGGGAAGGGAAAGGAAGATGATTGTAAGACACTCTTAGGCTGTGGTCACACAGACTAAATAATCCACTTTCAATCCATTTTCAGTGCCCTTTCCAACGGGAATTTTACTATGTGAACTGGCAAAATCCAGTTTGAAAGTCGATTGAAAGTCGATTATTTAGTGTGTGTGACCACAGACTTATAGACTCCTTAACATACAGAAAAAACAGGTATAAAAACCTGTTCTTCTTTTCTTCTTCTATTTAGATAACATAGAGAATAGGGTAATATGTGTAAACTTGAGATAACTGTCAAAAGAACATAAGAACATAAGAGACGCCAATGTTGGATCAGGCCAAAGGCCCATCCAGTCCAACACTCTGTGTCACACAGTGGCCAAAAATACCAGGTGCCATCAGGATGTCCAGCAGCGGGGCCAGGACACTAGAAGCCCTCCCACTGTTGCCCCCCCCAAGCACCAAGAAGACAGAGCATCACTTGCCCCGGAGTCCCTATCTATACCTTGTGGCTAATAGCCACTGATGGACCTCTGCTTCATATGCTTATCTAATTCCCTGTCTCCTCTGCACATACACCCACAGACTGATTTCACACATGTTACTTACCCTGTTTACTAGCGGGGTAGTTTTCCCCGGACCACTTAAACTAATTTCTCATTAGAGTTCTTGGCACGTGGCTGTTTTCAATCTGCTCTCGGAGTTCGATTTCCTTGGCGAGGTTTCCTGTGGCTTCCTGCGGCTTCCTGCGTCCTCCCTCCTCCCACTCCCCTGTCTTCGCCCTCTTAAACCCTCCCCTTTCCCCTCCCACCTTTTCTCCGCACGGCAACAGGAAACTTCTTGGAAATCAAGGATTGAGCTGTGCCGGAGCAAAACGGAGGAAGCTGCGGGTCAAAGGGCGGCCGCGGGACAAATGGTGTGAAATTGACCAGAAGAAGTGGAGGGAAAGGAGGAGCAAGCCCGGGACAAAGGCTAGGTGTGAAATCAGTCACAAAGAAACCAGAGTAAAATGCTGTTCCTACCAGATTTTCACATTCCTAGTGCACAGGGTTATATGGGAGGAGATGAGTTTTGTAGAAAGAAATGGCCCATGGGGCCGAGAAATCCAGGGGGAAGGAAATGTTTCAGACAGAATGCTGCCTCAAATTCCACCTGCCCGCCCCCCATCTGCCCTCTTAAGAACCTGGTTTATAAAGGACACAATCCAACCTCTGTCCCACTGACACTGGGTTCCTCATGACCAACGAAGGCAGCGCAGAAAGGAAGCACTTTCTCCCCATGGTTCCACATATGGGTCAGAACCTTCTCTTATTGATTTAGAAGAATCTGAAAACATTTAGGACAAAACTCTCTTTTAAAAAGTGCCTCAGCAGAGATAGCGAGAATGGGAGGCTTTTTTTCACACACCCGGCCGTACACTCACACCGATGCTCCCTCTAAGCTGTGGAGTCTTGTGAGCAAAAATTCTACTTTGTGAGCTACCGGCATTAAAGTTGT